TTCTTGTCACATGAATTCTGCTCATGAATATGTTGCAGAAAAACAGCGGGGAGGCCGCTAATCCAAACACTCAGAAACAGCCAAAAGACTTGGCTTTTGTTTCTTTGGATGAGGCAAAAAACAAGCCCTTTCTTTCCAAAGGTTGTTAGACGGCATCAAAGGTGGAGCATTGCTTGGCTTGTTCTGCGCCTGCATCAATGAATCAAGATAAAGCAGTTAAGGAAACATTTAATGGCCGCGCCAATTCGTCTTAAATGGGACTGCTGGCATTTTAAGCGAAGCTGGGCCTTCTGAAGCTCGTTGAGAGCCCTCAGTGAAACTATTACCCTGCCATCAACCCCGTCTCCCTCCAAAACGGAGAGCAATCAGCAGTGAAGGCCGACAAGCCGCTACCTCCCACTCTCCTTCTCGCCTTGGTTGCCGTCATCCTTATTTTCTTTCTCTGCCTCCCACTCTCCTTTCTCCCTCTCCTGCTTTCTTTCTCTCAATCTCCCTCTCACTCCTTCTCTCCAGGAGTGAATGTTTACATTTCTTGCAACAGACTGCTTCGCGGGGCACCAGAGTTTATTTTGCAACCTGTGGTGATGGCTCGCTTCCTAGACAAGAGCTGGCAGCCTCTTGTTGTTGATTCTTAACATGTGTTCATCCGTTCACCTCCACGGCGGTGCGTTCCTCCCTCCCCTGCCCCTCCACCCCCCAACCCGAAGACCCTCAAGGTTTTTCGCCGTTCAAAGGCCACGTTGAACTATTTGACATTGCGCTCTTTATCGGCCTCCGGGGGGCCATTGGAGCCCTCTTTGAAACTGTGAGGAAATACAAGTCCACTAAGACCACGCTCGGGTTACTAAGCAGTACTTACCTTTCAGCACAAACACAATGTAGAAGCAGGGGCAAAAAGTGTTCACTAGCTGCTATGTCACTTCAAGCAAATGTATTTTTTATTGTCTGTTTTTGCCATTCAAACTTGTGCTCTTTGCTACAGTTGAAAGGTAACAACCCTTTTGGGAAGCCTCTTCAACTAGTGCATTTTTCAGTGACTCTGCTTTTACTGAAAGTCCTGATGTAATATTTCCTTTTAGCCTGCTGCTTTTCATCCTTCTTTTCTAGGCTTTTGTTCCAGCTATTTACACTGGAATGGGCCATAGATATGCACAGGATTTTTTCAGATTTCATCAAAGACGATCTCAGACTGCCTGATACAGGGAAACCAACCAAACGGAATGTGCATTTTCACAGTTTAGTCATCCATTAAGAATGACATTTGCACCAGACTGGCCAGAAACATTTTCGTTTAAAATCCGGCCGCAGATTGAAAGATCTACAGTGGCTTTGGGAAGCCGAGCGCTGAATGTTGTGCTTGTTTACCGTCAGGTCATTCAGTTTGGGGCAGACTGCAACCAGGATGAGTGCACTTGCCGTGATCCGGACGCCGAGGAGAATAAGAGCAAAGCTGTGCGCTTGGAGGGAGGAGGAGGTGGAGCCGGAGGAGGAATGCAGTAAGATGGAGGGATGAAAGAAGCTGAACTTGTGTTTAACAGAGTCAAACCACAAACAATACACCACAACAACAAAAACAAGAAATATTCAATTTTTAACGTTTGTAATGCAAAGAATGTGATTGAAGTCAGACTTCATACAATAAAAGGCCATTTTAATTTTATCATCAGTGATCTTACTGTCAGAAAGCATCACATATGAGTCATGTGGGAATGTGATTCCTTCCTGCACAAATCCAGCCTAACACCCACTCGTGAATATTGTATATTGTTTTCTTTTCCTGGTAAGAAATGAAGGGTTATCTTCACTGCTGGATCTGTGTAAAAGCAGAACATTTATATATTTTGAAAACACTGAGGTCTAGTTCAAATAGGGTTAAAAAGCAGTTTATCCACTCTTGTACAAATGAAGTCATCATAATTGGATCAAATCACTATTGTAAATGGATTCAAGTACTTTTCTGGACTTGATTAGTTTTAGGGAAAAAGAAACCAAAAGAGCTAGCTGTACCTGGAAACTGTCGAGTACACGCACAGACCTTACAGTAAGGGCTACTGCTAACAACTGTGTTTACTGTTAGCATTAGCATTTCATAGAATTATTATAAAGTATCATATTTAAATCATACTCAAGCCAAAAATTCGGACCGGTTGATTTTTCTCTCGCTCATCAACTCGTCTGATGGCTACTCAAAACCAAATGAGGACTAGTGGGCAAAGGAAAAGACTTGCCTGATTTCTGTTCCACTACACACGGACATTACTGTCCTCACGGCAAACCAAAACAATTCCTCTCAAATACTAAAATGAGATACAGTCGTCATCGTTTGTGCATCACATCCTTCTACAAACACTGCTTTCTGACATGTAGCTGGTTAGGAATGTAAAAGGATACATATCTGTAAAGACTAACATGTATAGACTAATATATTTGGATCACTTAACATATCTACTAGATCACGTATTAGTCACACAAGTCAACGCTATTTATATCACAGATCCAGTAATACAAACATATCTGTACCATACAGCATGTGCACAGGGCTTCCCAAATGTCTGTTCAGTTGTAAAAAACATGTCATACATTCACATGCATACAAATATGTCAGATATTTATGATTATAAAGAATTAAATCCAAATCTAAATGTGAAAGAAAGTAACATCAAATACTGACTGTACAATGTGAAAACTGTGATGATTATTCTTAAAAGTTATGGATTTCCACTGAAAACAAAGATGCATGTACAATTGTAATGTTGGAGTCGGCAAAGAAAAAAAAAAAAAGGAATACTTTTGGGAAGCCTGGGCATAACCTCTCCTCAACACAGACCTCAAACCTCTCCTGCTTGCATGTTTGTACGTCAGAACGGTTCTGGTATCCATTAGCCAGAAATGATCCAAATGTTGTATCTATAAAAGTGTAATCATGTTCTTTGTGATATTTTACAGTACTTTATACTCTATATGAAATAAATAGCAACTTTATATCGACCCTTACAATGTCTTTCTTCATTTGATTTATGTTCACGTACAGGCGATGTGTCTTTTGTGGGTTTTGTGAGTTATGCATGTACAAATTACATGGTAAACGGTTACAAGAAATCGGCTCACTAGATGGTATACGAGCACACACACAATTTTCTATTTTTGCCTTGATGCCTGTTTATGATTTCAGATTTCATTACAGGCATAATTGCAAAATATTTTAAAGGCATTCTAATAACCATCTTTCATACTGTCAGAGATATTTGTATCTCATGACGTATACAGTGGTCAATACTTGCACAGCTTTAAACTTGAATTGACAGAAAAGGTATAAAGATTAAAGGTGCTGTGTGTTATATTTTGCCATTACTGTGTCATGGATTGCTGAATTGCAGATGGCACAAAACAGGATCTATTAACATGTATATTCTATATTGATTGCTTCAGGAACTATAGCATTTATGTTTATGCATGTGTTTGTAGACCGTTAAATACAGAATCAAATTGTCTTTGAAAGAAGAGACAGAAACCTTATTTCTGTGCTATGAGTCTTCAGGCTCCATCAGCAGATATCGACACCATTCTCTGCAGAGGACTACAACGGATCTGCAGCAGTATTATGCTTGACATGATTTGCAAAAAGAGAGCGAATAAACAAGTTTCTCAGATTTCAGTCTGGCTTTATATGCTGAATGTCAGGACAGCCTCCCAGCAAACTGTTACCTTCTGAACTCAGACTAAGTGCAAAATAGTTACCCAGTAATCTCCACTTGTATCTGTGACTATCTGAAATGTTTTGGATGGATGGATGTTAACCTTAGTCATATATAAAGATATTAGGTTTGACCGTGCAGTAGACTTGATTCACTGAAATTCTCCTCAAATTAAAAAGTAGGCCACATGTATCAGAGCAATAATAGAATGCCCTTCCTGGCACCCAGCGGCACAGATTTTGAGGCCAGGCTCAAAGCTGTTCTGTAAGTAACCATTTAGATTTGGAATATGTGATCAATTTATCCAAATCATTCCTGTTTGGAAGTTTGTTCTGATGTTTTTGGAGATGTGAGGACCTGCTGGCTGGTTGGGTTGACTGTCATTCTGGGGAGGACACTCTTATCTCGGTCAGCCCTTTGGTAATTTACTACTGGCTCTGGTGTCTCCGTAACATTTTGATATAAAAAGCCTTTAGAAGATACTATTTGGTCTCAGGGATGAACTATTATTCTTATTGCTGCAACATTAGTTTGTCTGAAGGTAGTTACAGTCCATGTTTTTATTGGACATTAACAGTGCTGCCTCTGTGCCTCTCCTTATATATACAGCTATCACCACATCGCAATAGGAATCGACAAATACACCTTAATTAAAATGAACAGAGGTGGTGTGGTCTATACTACATTTCATTTTGAGTTTTTAATGTACATTACAGATTGGATATCACGCTTATCTTTTGACTGCGTCTCACTGTCAATAAAGTTGGGCTTTTTTTGCCAGTTGAAGTGAGCTGGTGGTGTCAGTAAGAACACTGCTGTCCCAGTTTGCGAACTGATCATACTGCGTCCTCCCCTCCTCGGGAGGTTGCACCCCTGAGTCGACCTTAGCAGGTTCAAACTCCCAAGCGCATAACCTTAGAGTGAGCTGGGATTTATCTACATATGCACACAGCTCGCCTTCCATGGAGTCCGCCATGTCGAACCAGAATGTTTCTACAGTAGCCCAGAGTGGACAAACCAAACACTGACTGTGGATATTGCCTTTAAAATGTTTTGTGAGTTTCATGGCCACCATAGTTTCTCCTACACACTTCACAGCCCCTTCTCACTCTCAGACCATCAAATACAGACACGAGCGGTGTTCACTTAGTTGCAATGTGAAACTTCACCATTAGATGCCACAAAATCCTACACACTAGTCCTTTAAGTCATTCAAGAGCATGGAAAACTAAATAGAGCGCACAAATTAGAAAATACTTCTTCTGATGCCTGTCAGGCTCTGTTAAAGAATATCTAAACAGCCACTTTTCACAATATATTCTTTATTGTTCTTTGAAGTAGCAAAGATCAAAGTGAAAAAGTTTATAATAGCCACATACAGTATAGACAGAATAATCTCATGCAGGTAGTAGATGCTTGGTTTGTATCTCTCTAAGAGGTCAACAGGTCTCCTTGATACCTTATTCATTTCATGTTCATTCCCACTTAGCTTGTCATTTTACCCTTTTTGTACAAACACAATGACACTGTCGTCTTTTAATCAACCAGTCAGTCACAGTTCATTTCAGTCCAGTTTCAGATAGTGGTCAACATCAGATCAAAGAAAGTCAAACTCTGCTCTTTACAGAACTGCAATCACTGGGATTAATCCAATTGTTTGACTAAAGCTACACAGCAGATATTACAGTACAATATTGTATCTACTAAAGCACACCTAAATGTTGTAAAATATCACCTGTTGTACATTTATATACAGAAGAGAAACACTGTGCTGTGCTATAATGTGATGCATTTATGAAATACTTTGCTGCCTATACAAAAATCTACAAGTGTTTAGTATTCACATATGAGATTTGTTAAAAATCAACCACTAATATACATTTGCATTTCTTTGACATCAATCTCCAACATGGCCACTGCACAGCGATAAAATAATGACAAACAGAGGTCAAAGGAAAGTTAAAGTATACTTACGATAAACACACAGTATCCGTGGAAATGTCAGAAAAACCTTTCTCAAGACTTGTACATTATTGCATGAAGTTTAATCATACAGAGAAGCAGTTTAAAACATTGAGACACTGTTAATTTGCAGTTTCAATACAGAATTATCACTTTTAACAGCGTCAGTGGTTAGATTGTGGAGGATGTGAAAACTGTAGAACAAGAAATGAAAATACTGTCAAATGGTTTGGCAGATTTTATTGAACAGAAAATGAACCCTGTGTACTTCCTCTGTTATTTAGTAAAACTCCTTTATAACAACTTCAGTTATAAATGCAAACTATCAATACTACATTCAGCAGGTTATATCACTAAAACTTGATAATGATAATGCTATGTACAAAGTTTGTTTTGAATGTCTATACTACCAAAATAACTCCCAGGAGACCATCCTGTCTTTCTAAAATCTCTTTAGCTTCAAATGCTTAAATGCTACCTCAACCTTTCTCATCCAAACACGGATAACTGCAAAATACTGGCTTTGTTCCCGTTGTCGCTACATGACATTTACTTAAATACATTGGACTGCATTAAGACCAAACCAGGTTCCTAAGTACTCGTTTGAGAGGCTGACGTCACTCAAAATATGTCAAAAGAGAAGTGATAGTTGAAAAGTTTTGATAAGATTTGATGTGTAAGCAACTCCACACAATACAGCAGCCAATAGCAAATCACAGCTGAGGAGATACATGATGTTTTAGCCCATGAAGTGTTCACCTGCTGGGTGTGCTGCAGTTATTCATAATAAATGCGTACGGCAAGCGTCAGAAGCTGTAAAATATGAACCAATGGCTGGAATGTACCAGTGAAAGTGAAGCTACAATACATTTTAACGGTTAAATTTATACATCGCCCAAGAATCTCCTGCATTTTGCATGTAAACAAGAACAAAGCGCTGACTTTTGGTTAGAAGTCCGGTCTGAGCAGTAACTAACTGTATCCAGGCTGTACTGGCCAAAATTCACAGCCACTATCAGGTTTTTGGCCACTTGTTTGACATCAATAGTTGCCTTTTGTAATTTTTCACCAACATGTCTAAAGATATGACTGAGTTTGGATTTAAACAGGCACAAAGGAGCTGTCCTTTATGTCCCAGATCTGCTCTTTTAGTACCTGACTCAAAACGCTTTCCTCTCTATTACACTATTAAGTTGGTCGATTTCTGCAACAAAGAGTAAAAAAGGTGCTCTGTATTATATATCAAAGTTTTAAAAGATTGTTGGGTCCAACAAAGAAATAAAGTGAAATAAAATGCATGAGATTTTTGTTTTTCTAAGATAATTGCATTTAATGTCATGACTGAATAGAAAACAAAATGTGAAATACCATATGTTTTGATAGTATTCAACTTTTTTCCACATTTTTTTCATGCCATTCTGCATGTAAATGATAAAAATAGTAAAGAATTGGAGAACTTGAGGGCTGGAGGCGTGCTACAAAAGGTGCTTTTATTTTTCAGAAAGCTCCAAAAAATAATGGAACATCAATGATCTCTGGCTCATATTCGTTTTCCTTGCTTTATACATTGTTCCATTCCTGCCTTGCAATATTTCAAATTAAACGGCAATTAAAAATATCCAAATTTAGACACATACCAGCTTAACCAAGCAAAACATTGGAGGTAAACAACAGAGATTCCCACACAATGAATTGACTCGATGCCGACTTGCTCTGTTGTCATGAACACGTGGACAGCGATAACCTCACGAGATTGAGGTGGCTTCAGTTTTTGGAGCCCAGCGCCGCAGTTGCTCTCCACTGACTGCAAGACCCAGGGCATGATGGGAAACGCCTGGCTGTAACCTGACCAAAGAGCTGACTGGCTCTTAGTTTTGACCATAAGCAGTAGCAAATCCTAAATTTCAGTAATATTATATTACTATAGTAATATTGAGTATTTTGTAATATTCAGCACTACATTGTAGGCTATTATTGTCTTGTGTTGTGCAAGGTTTAATCTGTTAACAAACATTTCTTGTGTGGTTGATAATGATAACAATAAAGTTAATTTATGTTGAAACATGGTCTGCAAACAATGGGTAGCCTACAGATTGACCTAACAGGATGTAAACATTCCTGTGAAGTCCTGTATATTCATTGAAGGCTTCAGGAAAATGACAGACTTGACTGCAGGTTTTTGTCACCTCCAGTCGCCTGATCTCAGTTCCAGTTCATCTCGAAAGAGCCTAATTTTATCTTGTGCCAGCAGCTGCTTCACAGTAAATGTTAATGGAGGAATATATATTGCATTTCACAATTTGCCTCTCATTCACCCTCTGCTCTGATAGACTGAGACTTTGAATACATTTACCAATAATGTGGACAAAGCTAAATAGAGTAAATGGTATTTCAAATAATGTTTAGGAGTTACTGATGACACCATGAATGCATTTAGCTTAGGGAAACAGATGTGAAACCTGCATTTGATTTGTTTCTTTGTTGGGTTTGACAAATCCCCATTATTCCTGTACACATCCAAACTCAAAGCTTCAAGTCATTTTACAGCTCCTTAGGCTCACCGTAGTCATTGTACATGACAGTCAGCGTCTGCTCGTCACAGGCCTTGTGTACATCCTGGCCCATATTAGACCAGTTCAGCCCGAAGGACTTGGTGTCAGTGTAACGGCAGGACAGGAACTTGAGGGACATTCTGCGAAGGCCAATCTTCGGCTCCTGAAGAAGACCTTTACACCACGGGGAGAGTTCGTCTAACTGGGAGAGGATCAGGCCGGCCTTCCTGTTGGAAAAGAGTGAAAGTGTGTTTTTGTTTTCTTTCAAGACCTTGATAACATGTATACGAGTAAGCGTGATAAATGACACATTTCTCAGTACAGGGGATGGACTCAACAAAAACAACCTGCAATTTCATCATTACAAGGGGTAACAATTGTGTCTGTATGGTTAAGCTCATTATATCTGACTATATTTTTAACCATTATGAATAAAATAATATGCGTGTTAAAGTACATAAAAATGTATGCCAATGTATGACTGACATCATACACATACATGCATGTTTTATGTGATATCAGAGATTATATAATAATCTCTCTCTGTGGTTGTGCCTGGGTCAAATAAAGAGCTCAAAAATTGCTTAAAACACAAGTGCCAATTACGCACAGATTAAATTCAACTGAGTCTGTATTGGCTTGGCTTCAGGTCCCACAAATAGACATTTTGGCCAAATCTAACTGTGTAACCACGCAATAAATGGTCAATATACTGACTTATGTGTCTCTGACTGAACTTGTGCTTTATGCCATTGACCTGAACCCCGTTTCCCAGAAGTATTTTAAAGCTAAGATGATCTTAGTCCTATTGCAGGTCAATAGGCTAAGACCACCCTAGCCTGCTTTTAGGAATGAGGGCCCTGGTCTAACCAGGCAACCAATATATGGTGTAAACTATAGTCTTCCATATTCACACATGCACGTCTATCCTTAACTTTTCTTGGCATTACACGGAGGAGCTGTACGTGTGAATGCCAATGAGCAAATCAGTTGGACCGGACATTAGATGGACATTACCCAGCCAGCTCAAAGTCTGTGTAATGTGTCCGATTGAGCCCATGTGTGAACAGAGCAGGTCACGGTCTGAAGAAATCACAGTGAGCGAGTGTGTATGTCGATGAACTGTGTTGCTGCTTCATACTCTTTTCTGCTTGCCTGTATATTGCTTTCCATACTTTCACTGCTATTGTGGATACATCCAAATACATTCTCTCCTCCTGCACGGTCTACCCAGGCGCCACCTCTCGTCTGAACCAAACAGACTGTTTCCAGTAGGTGAGAACGTGCCTGATACGGACAATCTCCTGTTGTGTACTACATGTGTGAAGCTCTTCTTCAGTTAATGTCCAAAGTTCATAACGGTTCTTGAAATCAAATTGCACTGCACCACTGGACTGCCACTGCACCTCTCCTTGCACTCTATCATATACGAAGCCATCCAAATATCAAAAAGGAGCAGGCGAAGAAAAAACACTGCTACATTTCAGGAAAATGTCCCGTTTCAACATCTGTTTATCATGTCGTGCAGATGTACTGCATAATTTGCTACAGCCTTCTAATTTCTATCTCTCCAACACTGCCCAACCCTTTACATTGGTTGTTTTGCAGTCAGTCAGCAATCAGGAAATGCAGTGAACTATGGGAAACACTTGTTGCCAAGCAGCCAAAGGAAGGTAGAATCTCAATCTTCAGATACACTACACCATCTATATTCCATAAGCCACACTGTGGCTCTGCCGTTGTTTTAGAATGACATCAGTGTATGACAGAACCTAAAACCTACCCATCTACCACTGCTTCCTGTCTGAAGGAGCTCACAGGGTAAGGTGCACTGTTACTGACACATTCCAACTTTGACCCAAAGCACACAGTGGCTACTGATGGTCCGGGTAGGTATGATGGAAGTAAACAGTGGAAAAATGAATGAAGGAATGAATGGCCATAGCAAGTGAAGAGCTGGTCCTTGTGGAGAGGCAGAGGAGAGACTATGAAATGCTTGAACCTGTCCTTTGGCCAAACCAGGCCAGCTGAAAAATCAGCACCATTAGTAACATGATGCACATAAATATATCTCACAGGGACACTGAGTGCAATAAATAACCATTAAGCCTGATGCAGCCTATTTGGCCCTTGTAGTGAAAAACCCTGTCAAGTGTTAGTCTAAAGTCAGAAAATGGCAGCAGGGGAAGATTTCATTCATTCCACACACACTTTCTCCTCACTGTTCAGCCAAACCAGCACTTCTACAGCACAGTGTCCCCATTCTGCCAAGCCACAAGTCTGCTGGACGCACCAGGGCCACAGCACATTATACTGATGACACATCAGAGCATTCAGGCTTCACATTCAATATGCGTCAGTTAAAAAGAATTAATGACCATACTGATAGACTGAGCAAAGAGCATTTTCTCCAAATGTTTTTACCTATCCGTTGCTCTAAATCTTTAGATTTCCTTTTCACATTCGGACCAGTTTCAGCAGATTACTTCAGCCCGCCTGCAGCTGTGTGCTTTCCCTCCTGTGTGCATCAACTTAATTCAATTTAGAATGCAAAATGTGCAGGTGAAAGCAAACCACAGTGAATTCACAAATATGAAATGTTCCACTCATCGTTGTGGGCACTCACCTGTAGTCATGAGGCAGATCTGATGCTGATCTGATAATGATGATTGACGATGGAGAGGTGAAAATGGTGAAATCAAAGGTGAAATGGAAAGGGAGATGATGGGAGGGGAAGTAATGGAGTTCATGAAGTCGTGATTCTCACTGGTGATCTCACAATGAGCAGAACAATGACTGATGAAATGAAGAAATATCATGATGGTGATAATGTCAGATACATGTATGTATACCGTGTATCAGTGGTGTGTCTGGTCTCGGTCTCCGGTCTTGAGATGTTTTTTTGTATTGTCTTGGACTTGGACTCATTGGTATTTGCACTCAGACTTGTCTTGGACTTGACCATTGGTCTCGCTAAATATTCTACACACCAGACCTTTGAAAGTCAAACTAACAACCATCACATTTGGCTTTTCCTGCTTTCTTCTTCTCCATCAGCCCTCTTATGTGATTGGTCCACAGCACCCACTACAGTGACGTAGATAAATGTCAACTCAAAAAGCAACAACAAAAAGCTCAGCTAGCACAAGCAGGTACACACCACTGAGCACCATGCACTGGCTGTCACAGTACACAGCTATACAGACCTAAAGTTTGCTAACATTAGCCACCATAAGCTACTGGTCCTACCAGACCAAGTAAGGCTGTACAGAGTGTGCTGAATAGATTAGTGGTGTGTTTTATGGCTAACTTTTCATTTGTAAAATGAAGAATGTGTTTTCTCTTCTTTCAGAAATTACACACTTTCAGTTTTAAGGTAGAAATATTCATTTTAGATCAGGTTGTAGGTCTGAATCAATGCCAACAGAAAGTGCCAAAAAAAACTAAAGTCACTAGTTGTCCATTATGCAACAGTCAATCAATCAGCTGCACTGCAGGAGAATGACTGATTCATTTTGTCTCAATTTCCTTTTCAATTTTACTGTTTGGAAAGTTGAAACAATATTTTTCTAAAGCATTACTGACAACATTTGCACATCACTGACTGCACTCACTCCCAAATAGTCAAATACGGCAGCCTCCAAAATGATGGTGCTGTAGGTACTGATCTAGCATCAGTATTTCCCACGCAGGGCTCCATGGTCATGTTAGCATTAATGAATATGCAACATCCACTTAGACCTTCAAAATAAAGCTTGCTGAGAAAGATTTAACATTTTATGAGTTTACTTTGGTTTCACACAAGGACACAAACGGCTCTGTCCTCGGTGAAAGTCCTGCGTTTGTTTGACCCATTCATACACCCCAACTCTTTATACCACGTCACCTGACCGACCGCACGTCATTATATTACGCTTGACGAGTGTGTCCAGAAATGACGCTTGAGGAGTACATACAGCAGGATAGCTTGAAGTGTACGGCCACCGGCCGAGCTGCCGTATTTGACAAGTTGGGAGTGAGAATATCACCACACAGAAACTGACCACACGTACACACACAGGCATCTCGCAGTCTGTAGTGTGTGTCACATACTGGACACGCACACACTAATAAGTAAGTTGGCAAGTTCAACTATACATGCATTGCTCAAACACAAGAAAATATATCACTACATTATGTAATAAGTTGCACACGGTCCAGTGTGGGTTGATTTGCAGTTTGCTCTGGATCCCGACCGTGGTCCTGGATTAAAGCAACTATTAGCAGTAAGTAAGAACATATGTTTGTTTTACTTGTAACTTCTGTGTTCCAGTCTCTCTCCAGTCTGATATCCTATACACATCCTTTACAAGTCTTTTTTTGATTTTGTTGATAAGCTGCAATTCTTTGGCGTTTTGAACTTAAAGTTGGCACTGACCAACACATTGTAATAACACAGACACTGTGTGGCCTGCGGCTTCTATAGTATTTCATCTCTAAACATATAGCACATCACCCTATTTCCTGGTATGTGTCAATGTTATTTCTGGAAAATGAATGTATTCTGTGTGCCACAATAGGCCACAATTCCCTTCAAATAGGCAAAATCTTTTAGTCAAACATCTTTCTGTGTTATTTTTGGCATTCCTCTCTAATTTGCAAACCATTTTACATATAGAGACACACGAGAAGCAACATCCTCTTCGCAGCTGCCTGGCTAAGAAGTACTTTGCATATGTTATTGAATGGATTTTGGAATTGGAGTGTATTTTGGAATTGGAGTGTATTTTGAATGTTATATGTACATGTGGATGCTCAGCAGGACAACATCCCTATTGCAAATGCATATGGAGAGAGCCATAACAGCAATATCTACAGCCTCAGTTATGTTTTCTGCTCTGGAAAGTGCAGTGAAAGAAATAATAATTTTAATGATGTTAGCCTGTCTGCAGACAAGAACTCTTGTGTTGGTAGTGGTACTGTGCTGCCATACTGTCATTCATATCATTTTTCTGAAACCTCTTTATGTTCCCAATATTTTGCCACAGATTTCAGTGGTCTGAGGAAATCGGGATATTTATTTGCTTTAAATAAAGGGAAAAAAATGTGGTTTGTTATGGTTTCATTTTTTAGAAAAGCAAAGGAACGTTTCACAGGTTCCAAATAGCAACGGTTGTCACCATAAATCCTTGTGCATGTATAGGAGTGGAAAATGGTCTCCAAGATACAACGTGAGTGCTCCTCAATA